CAACTGAAAAACCAATATAAAATAAATTATACATTCATGTCTACATTTAAATAAATAATATCAAAAATAATAAATACCAATAAACAGGATCAACAAACATGTTGCAGTGCACTGTCACAACCTGAAAACTGCTTAACATATAGCCAACATTTTTGGTAAAACTTATTCAACATATTCCACTCACTCCACTGGGTTAATAATTGATATCACGATTACTTTGAAAACATCAATTTATTGGAGAAAAAACATTTGAACAGTATGTTTTTAACAGTTGATTACCCCGAACTTTAAGTATAATTCAACTTAAAAAAAAAAAAAGTAATAATAAAAAAATATCGCTTTATTTCGATTACGTTGTTTTCGTAATCGTTGCAAGCCATAATCGTAATCGCGATTTAAAATACGATTAATTGAGCAGCCCTACTCCACAGTGCTGAGCAGGAGTTACCAGTAGAGACTTCAAATCCTCCCTCTTGAGTTTTAAAGCTGTGATTTTCCAGTCATAATCTCACTCCTCTAAACAATCACTGTGCTGCTGCCCTGATCATAAGAAGCGCTTGTATTTGACTTTCCCCAAACACTACCATACTGAGCCTCTCTGGCCAGAACTGCCTCCTAATGAGAGGTGCGGCTTTCCTCCGCAGGCGCCACCACAGCGACCATCACACCCAGCCGGGCTGCCAGCGCCACTGTGTGGAAGAGAACCTGGAGCGCAGGAACCACTACTTGGACCTGGCAGGCATCGAAAACTACACATCCCGCTTTGGAGCCGGTGAGTGGACCGAGGCCAGGGGTTTAAACCGAGGAGGGGGGGGGGGGACAAACAGAGTACCGTAGGCCTTTGAAGATTCATCCAGAGGTCCCTCATTACTGCGGCACCTGCTTGAAGCCATTAGACTGAACTACTGCGCTCCTCTCCAGTACAAACATCTGGGAGCAGGCAGGCACAATGCATCAAGTGTTCAAGGGTAAAGAACGGGCTGTTGGGACGGGAAATATTAGGCGTAATAAGCAGCAGGCTTGATCTGAGGGTCAGTGATGACATGTGATTATTTTAATGTTGCTCCTGGTACGAAAGTGCTAACAGAAACCTGCTCCCTGTCACTTTGAGTCAGAGTCCTATCATGGAGCTTTTTACTAAATCTTTATTGGGCACAGTCATTTGCATATAATGGGTTATTTTTATTCACTTGTTTCCCAGGGTTTTTAGGGCACATGTTGAGAAGCCCCGTGGAAGAATTGTTGTTCCTCTGCAACCTTGAAGTGTACATTGTTTTACTTTATTCAATTTCACATGTTTTATTGCACACTGTCTTTTTTCTTTTGCTATATTAAATAAATTGTAGGTTACATTGTTGGAGGAGCCTTCGACTTATGATTTCCATCGCCAAAACTACGCCCCACAACTATTTCGTTTCACTGTATCCAACATTTTTAAGGGTTACAGCAAAAAGAGAAACTTTTTAAATACCTACTTCTGTGATGGTTTGGTTTTAATTGGAATAACTTCGCCGGGATTTTCCGACCCCAACAAAATGACTGGATTTTGCGGGGGTCACAGCGATGAAACTTTACTAAGACCTTTAAAAGCAACATCCTTTAAAAAAACAAAAGCCACATTTTGCCTCACATACAGAACATTCTAATACATTTTGCCCAGAAACCAAACACTGATGCACCATTATGTCTATGGCACTGCTTTATTTGATGTATTAGTGCTGTCAATACAGTAGATTAAATCAATGCCATCGGCTTAATCACAATAATAATCATGATTTATCACAGTTTAACGCGTACAAAATACACATAGTATGGTGTTGTAATAAAGAAATGCCTGAAAAACGTTATTATAACATGATATCTGAATTATTGGCATCAAGTCCGATCATTTGGCGCCCTTAGCTAAAGCACCAACAATGCTGCTGTCACGGAGAGCATCTGGCACCCCCCTCTGTGTGCGATACATTTTTTCTTTTAACATGTTAAAGTTCCCAGATTAATTGCGAGTGTTACCGTTGACACCCCTAGTTTTTTTTTAATTGTTGGAGGAGCCTGGAACATGTGTGGATGAGTCTTTCAATATTTGAATCATGATTCTGCTTTTCTCAGTTTAAATAAAATACTTTTTCCCTCCAGCCCCCACCACCACCACCACAGAGCCAGCGAAGGCCGAGCCTCAGACGCGTCCATCCAACCAGACTCGCTCCCGCTCTCACGAGCCAGAGAACGGCCACCCCCACCCCCCCCACCGCCGCCTGCACCCCGCCGTGGACACCGTGTCTCCGGAGAGCCTCCACCCCTCCGCTCGTACGCGAGTTCAGGACTCGGGGAAACATGCCATCCGCTCTCCTAAAACCCACAGCAGCCGGACGCCCCCCGCGCAGATCAGCAGCAGGGTGATGAGAAGCCGAGGCGCCCCCCCTCCCACGGTCCTCCCCAGTCAAA